ATAATCCAAGTTATTAAGAGAGCAAAATATCATCTCCTAAGTTGCATCTAGAGAAGTTAAACTTCTAAGACGGGTGAACTATCATGTGAAAATCTTTGAAATTGTATAATATTTTAAATACACAATAAAGATAAGCCATGCCAGCCTGATGGCGGATTAAAAAAAAAAAAAAAAGAATATAGAAGTCACTACTAAATTATGAATCCATTCAAGACTTCACATGATCATTCCATAGGTAGGTTGTAATAGATTATGTAAAAAGAATGTTCTGATAGGATAAGATGATATCTAAGACTTCATGTGAGTATTCCATAAACATACTGTAATAGATAGTATAAAAAGAATACTTGGTGGGACGAGATACTAAAAGGGATGTTGAATCAAAAGCTTAAACACGGTGTGATAAGTTTCAGTGATGATGATCCAGACATAGTATAGGGGGTAGTAGGGTTCCTTCCGTCAACATGTTACAGGGGGTTGGCAACCTGAGTGTCGACAAATTGGATTTCATTGTAAAATTTGATGTTTATTATCGAAGTACTGGGTCATAAGAAGGATTTAGAGTAAGAGAATCTATGTTAAGATAATCCAATATGTACTATCCTGTAACAAGGACCGAGGGCATCAATAAGTTCAATAAAACTGGACATTGTTATCCTTGCAAAAAAAAAAAAAAAAAAAAATACAGGAAAAAAAATATTTAAATATTACTAATAAATATAAAAATATTTTAATTGGGTTTATTAATCGGTTTTTTAATTTTTAAAAAATTTTTTCCTAAAAATTTCGGGCACCACTGCGTTTATACTTTTAAATATGCTACACCAATTAAGGAAAACTCTTCAATAAAAAATATTCAATTGCACACAATTCAGAAAATCGAAAAAAAAAGCAGATTCTATGCACACTTGCAATCTTTATTTTCTACACGGATTGAATGTTTTTTGAGCGTGTATTTATCAATTTTCCACTATTTATTATAACATAGAATACGATAAATAAATCTTAATTCGTAATGTCAATATTTTAATAAACGGATTAAGGTTTGCAAAACCAACAAATTATAACTTACGCAATTTATCTTTTGAAAAGGCTACCCTGATTATTCCTCTGCCGCATATAGTAAGGTTGTAATGGAGCCATTCGCGACAAATCAAAAAGATGGCGCATGGTTGGCCGACCATGCGGGCAGTTCTACAATACAAGATTGATAAAAAATTTCCAATACCAAACAGTCAAAATAATTTAACTCACCCAAGGTTGATTTATCTTTCCCATATGCTTAACGATCTAATATAACAAAGATCGGTTATCACTTTCAGAACTGATTGACTCAAGAGCTTATAATATTACCGACCTTTTCCATTTGTTGGCGATTCAGAGCATCACCAATCATCACAGATTTGCGGCAGGCCCGAGAGGCGAGCATGTTTCGAACATGCGAACACCGGACCATCTCTCCGGGTCGTTCAGTCAATAAGAAAATCAATTCCTCTAAATCTTGAAGGGTATAAGTGTCAACGCCATTGGAATCAAGTGAAATAATTACAAATTACCTTTAACATCAAGTACCATATTCTTGCATATTGGTTGTGATAATAGCTTTAACTTGTTCGAAGGCTTTGCATCATCGTCAACTTCTAATTCGAATCCATTATCTTGCAAGATTTTCATGTTTTCAATTGCTACCATTTCTTCGGCAACGGTAAGTTCGAGTCTTCTTGGACTAAAATATAAAAACTTAATAAAAAGAAAAAAGTGACAAATAAAGATAAAGGAGTAATAACGGAAACCTTATCAGTCGTTGAGATTCAATTTTCGTATGAAGTTGAAGATTCTCAAAATTATATTTTTCATCAGACGCATGTTGATCAATAATAAATAAATCCCCACTGCCGTTTAATTTTGCAATAATGAAACCGAGATTAAATTGACCAACTATTTCCATTTGTGCAAAATCTTCTTTCGTTATGATCTTATTCAATTCACTTTCAGCGACCTTATTATCTGTCACGGTAATACCAGCTAAATCGCGCAATTCTGATTTGATATTATCGTCCCTTTTCGTACAAATAGTCGAATTGTTTTTGAATCTACTCGGTGAATATCTCGTAACGTCAAATATTAGCTCAATTCGATTCATCTCTGCTGAATTAACCATTTTACAGCTGGCTTCTAACTCGGTATCATTACTATCGCATATCAAATTCCCCGTCGATATTGTGAACGCAGAATTATTTGAACTTGCGCTTTTTGAAGAATCGCCGTCGATATAATGTTTTGATAATATTTTATCATCATTTGTTACATTGGTCAACCCTTTTTCCGGAGATTCCTCGGAACTCTCGTCATTTACACACGGCATGGTTTCAGAATCTTGCGACATATCAACATCATCGTCATTCCCAGAGTTATGGTTTGCAACTCGCTTATAGTTTGATCCCCCGGGTTCATTATCGATACTGAAAGATATCTTGCGCTTTTTTGCATTCGTTTGATGAACTGACGGTAATAATTTTATCGATTCGGATTCTTTCTTTTTATTAAACTCAGATTCTACGAGCCGACAGTCCAAGGAATTACTTTTGCATAACCCATTGGCATTCTCAGACCTCGCACCTTCACCGATTTTTCTTAGAGTCGCTTTGCCATTATTGTTTCGGAAATATGCGTTATCTTCGGCATTTTTGTTTCGGAAATATGCGTTATCTTCAGCATTATTGCGTGGATACTTATTTTTTTCGGTACCATCCGTGTTATCCTCATCTTTTTCTTTAGCATCAGTACCTTCCCGAGGGTTTTTTTCGGTGTCATCTGAAGCTACATTGCATGATGAATTCTCATTAGTAGGCAACTTTACTCCTTCCGTATTGAGACAAGTGAAGGTTGATCTAAATGGTTCTAAAACTCGTTCCATCTCACTCTTTCATAGTCCAATAAAAATTAAGAAGGTTAAATTAAATACACGAACATACATATAATAATAAAAAAATCATATCCTTCGATATTACTTTCAAAGCCTCGACAATCTTATTTTCATTGTGAATAAATATAATTCTTTTGTCAGGGCTGACGTTAACATCGTAAGAGACTGGGAAATAAGAAAAAAAAACAAAAAGTAAATTAAAATTAGATTTTAAGCCTTAATATTCATTTTAATTCAAAGTTGAATTTTTGAGCTAACATTTTGCAAGTTGGAAGTCAGCTACAAGGAACGGATATTGGTTCGTGCTAAAACCCTTGTATAATTCATTTATAACTTTTGCCACCTAGAAAGAGAAGAGAAGCATAGAAATAAATCTTTATGTCAACATCCTCGTATAATAAACAAATAAGCAATCAATAATATAATAACTTTTGGCAAAGTACAAGGTCGACCGTTAATAAAATAGTATTGTCTATCCGCACTTCCACGACCATATCCTTTGATAGGTTTCGATATATAACCGACGACGTGTACGGGACAATGATCGCTATAAAGTGGACGTAATAAGTAAAGTTATGAAATGTTTTCGTCAATTCCAATCTTGCAAACTTTAGATTCTCAGACCTTTCGGGTTGTTTATTCGAATCTTTCGATATAGTCTGCCTTTCTGGTTTCATCTCAATAGTAAAATCTAATGGCACTATTTGTGTGACAATCTTTGCGCCAAATAAATTGGCAATATTTTCTCGCATGGTATTATTACAGCTGGTACTTAGCACTGTCGTTTTTGCGCTAATTATAAATAACAGTTAAGACCAATGAAAGTAATAAGTAATTAAAAAAGGAACTTGAATTCGAAATTTACCCATTATTCGGTTGATTCGTGCAAGTTATTTTAGTATTTAGGCATATTATGGCGTAAGCATGCAGCAAAGTCAGGGCTTTGCCAAATTCACGTTTAACGTTTTTCTTGAAATCTCGGTACCGAACGGGAATAGATTCAAATAGGTTTTGTAATAGTACAGTAGTGCCTCGCTGTATTCGAAACTCGCGTCAAATAGAATTTTATGATCTGAACAAAGGACAGACGATGCATCCCAAAAAGTACCTCGCGTGCAACTGGTGTTCTTCTAACAAGATAACCATTGCAATCATACTCTAACCTAGTTCCAGTAGGGACTTCCTCCTGAGTACATGTGGAAACAGTAACTTTCGACAAAGCGCAAAGGGAACTGAGTGCTTCCCCTCTAAACCCAAAAGACTCGACTTTATTTAAATCCTCGAATTTCGTAATTTTAGACGTGCAGTGTTTGAGTGCTACATGCATTCACATCAATTGTTGGTTCCCTGCATGATATATAATTAATTTCGAAAATAACAAGTACCCACCGAGTTTCTCGTAATTAGGCTGATCTATTCCTGTGCCATCGTCAATCACTTCAACTGAATGCAAACCATATTCTCTAAACCTAATTTCTATTTAACACAAAGGACGCGACAAAATGACAACAAAATTAACCCCAAGGAGTTGAGATAACACGTCCCAAAAACTTTAAGATTGTCATACCGATAGTTCGGGCTTGTGCGTCAAGGCTATTTTCAACAAGCTCCTTTACTGCAGTTGCCAAATCTAAGATAACTTGACCGGAGCAGATTTTGTGTATCGAGGACGCGTCTATCGGTTTCACTGCCGCCATTGCGAATTGGCACGGGTAAAATCATTAATATTTTTTTACACATGCTTATATATACAGTATTCATTCGTGTAACCCAGAGATGATCTATTTAAACTTGACGTTTTTGTAGTAAACTTTTATATGTTTTACATCATTATTAGCCATCCATCAAATAAATAATTTTTTTTTTTTTTTTAGATATTAGTTCATCTCATGAAAATAGTTTAAAAAATAGTAATTATTTATAATTTTAACTCAATCAAAATAAAGAAAAATATTGTACTATCTAATATACTGTAAATATTTTTTTTTCTATTTTTTTTTTTTTTTTTTTTTTTTGAGTACTCGTTGCCAGGCTAGATTGTCAGTTTATTAATCAATTGAAAACATAAGTACATTTTTATTCGAGCAGCATGATATATATTACAGCTAAACTATTATTTTAATCTAATTAACTCATTATAAGTATAAAAGTCTTTAAGTTTGATCTTGGAAACAATATTTTGCTCTGCAGTATCTTTGGATAAAAACTCTCCTAGTCCACTATATCATTGCCAGTAGGTTTTTACCACTATATGTTTGACCAAGTTATTGGAATGCAAGAAATTACAAAAGAATGAATTGAAAAAAGGGGAGGAGGAATATCTAAAAATATCTAAGCAGACAACAAGAAAATGAAAAAGTAAAAATTAAAAAAAATATTTTCAACTTTCTTCAAAGACCTGCTCCTCAAGATCTCTTCTCAATAAGAAATGCCCAATTGGAATATTCTTTCTTTTTTTAACTATCTGAGGAACTTATTTATTCTTGATCTTAATTTTCTTCTTGTGTACTATCTGAGAAGACTAATTATCTAGTTAAAGATGGATCCTTAAAGAGAGAGGCAAGGATAAAAGTCAAATGTCTCTCACTAAGAAAAATTAAAATTTTTAAATTTATAACTATAAAAAAACTACTCACAATTATTTTTCATTATCTAAATCATTGATTTATAGTATTTTCTGACTTTTGTCCCTATTAAAGTAAAGAGTCATAAATTTTGTCTCTCAAAAAGGGATATTTTTTTTTTATTTTTTTTTTTAATCTGCAATTATGCCACAATGGTGTATCTTTATTGAAAAATTGAAAATAAATTTATAATATTTTACAGACTTTTAAAAAGTGACTAACTCGTCTTTATACAAAAGTATTCTAAGTTAGATTTTGGGAACAATATTTCACTCCCCTAATAGATTGATAATAACCTCTATTTATCAGGATCATTGCCA